TTCACACTCTGTCATCAATTAGATAACTATTCCCCTAAAAACTTAAAATGAACCAAAAACGTGAAACTATGCTTTTTTTCCTCCATTTTGACACTATGATAGGACTACTTCTTAATTGTTTAAATGACAGAACGCGACAACGGGACGGAACGCAACCTTTTTGGTTTTTATTGAGTTTAGAAACTGGCTGAAAATAGGAAACCTGATTAATTGAAATAGGAACGCGGGAAGTACAAAAAAAGAATCGACGATTGTTATGTTCCACGTTTAAACTTTTTTCTAATATTCTAATTTTGAATTTGTTTGAGAATAGAAGAGTGATTTGTAAAATTAACGACGGTTTTTTTGGCCAGTTTATGACTTGACGAATTTCAGTGACAAAATTGAAATAGGACTTTTTCGTATTATATTGTTGACTGCAGTTGAATACGCCATTTGCAAGTAATTTTCATAATTTTTTTATTGAAGGCGAGGTATGTAGTAGGTATCGTTACATAAGAAATTTCTTAGTTTCCTAATAATAGGAATTCCTAAAACAGTTCATAACAATGGGATAGGTAAATAAACTTCCATTGTACATTTTCTCAGAATTTTTTGCAGAATCATATTATTACTAAAGTTCCTTTGAATTAGATAAACAAACAGACAAAATGATTTATTAAAAGCACTTACGATTCAGTTATATAGATCCAAACATTTACTGAAAGATGAATGATTATTCAGAGCCTGAAAATCATCACAAGTATGATTATAAAAATGCCATAAAACGAACAACTTTGGCCTAAATTTAAGTGCATTAGTTTATTACTCACTGTTGGACAGCTGGGGAGAAAAGTGAAATGACTAAAACCGTCGAGAACGAATCAGGGGGTCTACTCTCGATCTCCGTCCGACATCCGTCCGAAACAATTACTGCCAAATAAGCAATACTTGAGCAAATGAAAAGACGTGTGAAGCAAATGAAGCTTGTCTTTTAATTTTGTCGAATATTACTTATTTGACAGTAATTGTTTCGGACGGATGTCGGACGGAGATCGAGAGTAGACCCCCAGTTACGTTATAAACGTACGACGAACGCAGAATACCTACTTAGGAGCCGTACATACTTATATTGATTGTTTTAAACTTCCAACTGCATTGGGAATTCTTAGTAATTAATCTACATGTACTGTTAATTAATCACCTTACTTTATTTTGTATCACCCCTTATGAGCATTAAGGGTTGTAACTTACAATATTGACGAAAACGAATATAAGTTTTCTTGTCTAAATGTACGTCCATAGTAATAAAGAGAACACACAATATATTCATTAAATAACGAAAACAACATTTAGAGAAAAATGTCCAGTTCAAAGACATTTATCCAAGGCCTGAATTCTGCTTAAAAAAACCCAATAGTACCAAGACAGAGTAATAATTACTATTAGTTTATACTTGACTACCTCAGTGGTCCAAAGGTTAACACTGTGGACGCTGCATAAGAAGGCTCTGGGTTCGAATCCCATTAGAGACAATTTTGGGAAACGCGCTTTTTAAAACTTTTTTTTAGAAAACTAAGTGACGGCACGGACTAGTCGTGCACGAGGTTATAAGCGACACGCCTGTCCATAATAAAGAGGGATAAAGCTATTGCGCCCGTCACCTTGAGACATAAGTTGACAAGTCCCATGTGCCTGTAATTTTTCTAAATTAATTCTGATGTGGCAGTTCTGGGTAGAGCTTCAAAGTAAATAGCATCACGCAAATTGTCAAATATTTTTTTAACCATCTCAAAAAATTCAAAAAGTAAAAAAATAGGAGCTATTTATAGCCGCGAGTTGTGTTTAAATATAAAAAATGTAACATAATTGTTACGGTTAGGAGATAATGCTTTTAAAAGCCAAGCAGACGTTACGACGGTAATTAGTGAAAAGAGGAAGTATATTAAGATAGCACAGTACATTTTATAACATGATATTTGCTGGATTTGAAAGGAATCGAACACATCATAAACAGATGTATCGTAATACTTTCGTATACGACTGTACATCTATCATCACTTGCGCTAAGTGCGCGAGGAACACGCTCCGATTTAGCAAATAGCTCACAGATACTCGCTATTATTAATAGCTGTCATATTGTACAGCTGTAGGGATGAGTACGGGGTAACTATTACTGATATTAGTTATAAGGACGTGTAATTCTATAGAGGTTACTGGGTCACTGTTTCGACTTTATATAACAGTGTCTTATTTGAATAAAGTGCACCATAGATTTTGTTTTTGCAATAAACATCTCAAGAAAAGAAGGCGTCATATGAACATACAAGAATGAGTGACAAGCATTGACTTACAATTATATGGACGTCGGGTCCGCGCTAAAAAGTGTCCGCACTTGTAAGGCGCTAAAATCATATACAGAGCGCCAAACTCCGCTTTAGTCTTTATTTGTTCTACTGACAGCGCGATACTGCGATGAGATTACAATTTAAATTTCGAATAGGTTGACTTGAGACATTTTTTTCGTGGTTTTTGTATTAGACCCGTCGTCCATTTATTTGTAAGTCAATGGTGACAAGATATAGAACGGTAAACATTACAACTAAAAACCAAGAAGGTTTAATATTACGTCTGTCGTAATTTATATTGTAAGTAATATAGTTCTTCATTACTTTAAAACTTATTTATTTGTGGAAACACGTTGTATAGGAGTTGACAATGACAAAAACAGTAATGATGACTGAACATTAAACGTGCAAACACATGTAGGTACTGACACGCAATAATAATAATGAACCAAAAACTAAACAAGGTGTAACTTTCATTTAATAGATATTATTAACTATGCTATAAATATTGCATGAGAGGCGCGCGAACATTAAATGTCAAAGATTTTTTGGCATTGAGAACTAGGGATTCATCTTTTAAAAACTGGGACTAGTATAGTAAATTTTAATACGTTGTAAATAACTATAGGGTTTTCTTGCGCCTTTATTTCTTATGGTAATTACATACATATTATACATTTTTGGCGCAATAAGATAAATATTTTTATGCGTGAAGATAATTTCGTTGCAATAAATGCAACCATTCAAATGTATATGGCAGTTTCATATTGTAATCTTTATTATCTGTTACCATTGTATTATGTCCATCCCTATTTGTAGAGAAATGGCGCGAACCGATCGGGTGCTGACAACTTTATTGGCCTCCATTTCGGAGTACATTTAGTAAATGCAGATAAATATTTATTGGCCGATAACTGCCGAGGATGATGAGCAGGGTTTATTTTCGTTGTTAAGTCCTGGGTATTGGAATTTAAGGTATCATAATATTAGAACTGAAATAAGTGGGTGTGTATGACTTTTTTTAGGCCTAGATCATTTCACCTGTTGTATGCACAAAGTAAATAATTTAGATTATTAATACCTATAAGTAGGTCCAGTAGTAAGGTAATAAGTAGGTCCAGTAGTAAGGTACTTATTTAAAAAAAAACTATAATCCTCCAATAAAATGATGGTTTAAGTTCAGACTTTCAGTGATAATGCATTGCAATTTGTAACATTAATTCGGTACTAGTACCGACATCTATGAAGTAGGTAGTTATTATACTCATAACGTGTACACTGTCATCTATTTTTGGGATTAGAACTAAATCTCCAATTTTAATGCCCTCTACGTTACAGTATTTGAAGTAGTTGAATGAGTATACCACTTTGTGCTACTTTTATAATGCAATAGATGGCGTTAAAATTTACGTTTCGTTCCATGAAGAAATAAGTACGTTGTTATTATTTTTATAATAAAACAGTCTAAATGAATAAGTAATTTTAAAACACAAAAATATTTTATGCTATCAATAAATATGAATATGTTTAAAAGTTGATATGATTTTCTTTGACATTTATAATTATTGTATATTTAGCGAAATCACTTAAAAATCTGCGTAACAAAAAAATAATTTGCCAGTGCTGCCACCCACAAGAGCACGGAAACCAGAAATAACTTGTCGCAAAGCCACCATTTTCCCTTTGTAACTAAACCGGTGTTCAAAACACGTGCGTACGATCAAGTTACATGGAAAACTATTGATAACGCGATTGTCGACTATATAAAAAGATAACTAAATAGTGCGTCGCGTTGCCTTCGACAGGTGCCGTGGGTTAAAAATACAGAATGAACACCGAAAAGTTGAAGAAACTGCAGTCACAAGTCCGCATCGGCGGTAAGGGCACTCCAAGACGTAAGAAGAAGGTGGTACATGCTACTGCAGCGACAGATGATAAGAAGTTGCAGTCATCGCTGAAAAAGTTGTCAGTGAACACTATTCCTGGCATCGAAGAGGTGAATATGATAAAAGATGACGGTACTGTAATACACTTTAATAATCCTAAAGCGCAGGCCTCCCTTGCGGCAAATACATTTGCCATCACGGGGCATGGAGAGAATAAACAGATCGCAGAAATGCTTCCTGGTATCCTCAGTCAACTGGGACCCGAGGGGTTGAACCAACTAAAGAGGTTAGCATCAAGCGTCGCGGCGCCCAAACCTTTGGACGAGGACGACGAGGTACCTAACCTAGTCGGCAACTTTGATGAAGCTTCCAAGCAGGAGGCCAAAGAAGTAACGGCCGAAAAGGAGAAGGAAAAAGAGAAGGAAAAGGAAAAAGAAAAGGAGAAAAAACCCGAAACAGAAACCAAAGCTGCTGACAAGAAAACCGATTAAAGCCTCCCCTTGGATTTAGTTTTTAATTTTGCTCACCTGAAGTGATATCGAACGCTAGGGTTTCCAAAGGCATTGAAGTGTCTCAAAAAACAGTTTCATTTTGTAATTTTCATAGCTTGTGTTCCTAGATAAATGTATTTTATATTAATCATGTCTCGAGTTTTATTTTCTGGTTGTGTTTGGAACACAATTTTTAGTTTCTTTTTTTTGTGAATTGAGTTTTTGACTTATGACTTTGGAAATCTGCTCTGCCATCCAGGATTTGTATGAGTGCTTCACTTCTTTACCTTGCACTACTTTTATACCAACTAATTTTAGTATTTATGTACTGTACCATACAGCATAATGAATTGCGAATGTCCATTTTAGGCTCGGTTAAGTGTTAAAGCCTTGTTGACATGAGCAATATTACATATTGATATGTATAAGAATCCTAGGAATTATTTTTGACGGCACACTATCAATTAAAGGAATATATTATTATACATATAGTAAGAGGTCTAGCAATACCTCAATATTTTATAAATAATAAGTATTTTCTAAAATTGTTGATCCGGTCTGGTGGAAAGTTTTGCTTTCTCATTTTTTAAAAGAGTTAAAAAATAGGTTTAATGAAACTTAGTCACAGGTAGCTCTTTAGGTATTGGAGCTAACAATGTATAATAAAAACATAAAAATTGCAAAATATAATGAATAAAGTTTTGTTGTATTTACTTTACAATTAAAACTTTGATTTATGGATTTTGAGTTTCATTTTATCAATTGTCCTAATTTTCCTTGTCAATTTGTGGAATAATTTAGTTATATTGTTTAAAATATGTACAGACGGCAGCACATTGACGAATCTTTGTTGCACTGCAATATTCAAACAAATATGATGTGCTGTTGATTGTACTTGAAGTAGTAGGGAATTATGAATTATTTAAATGGTATTATTTTTAATTTAAAGCAATCATTACAATGTTATCATTCTGTGGTTACATTATCAAGAAAACAATTTTATGGTAAATAAAAATGTGAGTACATATTTATTACAGTTGATAAAGAAACTATGAATATGTACACCACTCAAGTACCAATGTATTTTAATATACCATTTCAATGAACATTTATCCTTATGGAGTTAACAATACAACCGTTCTTATGTTAGTGACTTAGAATTACCTAATTATGTAGAACTGGTTAAAGGTATTAATTTGCTGGCTAATCTAAAAAGTCCCTCTTAAGTTATTAATGTATTTTTAAAAGGTACATAATAATTATAACATATGAAACTAAATACTGATGCTGCTATAACTCAAAATTGGTTATTGGGAAGACATGATTTGAAATAAAAAAAATATTACTGAATCTGAACAATAGGATTATTTTTATTCGTTTAGTTAGCCTCATATAAACGAGAATAGAAATTTTTTGGTTCCATTCAGAATTTCTGAAATTTCAAATCATGTTTTCTCAATTTCAACATTTTTAATTTATGACGAATTACGATATATCGCAAACCGTATTTGGTTGAAATCAATTTGGTAAGAAAAAAAAGGGTGAGTCATAGGTTTGCATCGATTAGATAACCAGAAATAGAGACGAAATGTCATTTAATTTGTTTGAAAACTATTCTGCCAAATGACAACTGAGCTCCGATAGGCCAGCCCGAATTGGAAATATACTTAGGGATGGGCAAGCAAATATTATATTATCGAAATCGATAGTATATATCGACGCCTTACTTTCTCAAACACATCTTATAAAGAGTGATTATTCAGGGGATGGCAAGTATGCTTGTCAAGGATGTCAATTTGGATGCATTACTTTAAAAATAGGTAAAAGCCAGTGTGTGAATATGAAGGAAATTTGATATGAAATCATACCGCAAATATAATAATGCATTTCAGTTACTTTGTTTTTTAAAATACTAGTTTATGAAAGTTAGGCGACGATATGACATTATAAATAACCATTACCTGTTTTTTTACCCATTTCGAATTGTGCAGTATTGTTAGAATCCATAGTCATTCCGAATGAGCAAGTACTGAATGTATACTATATGTATATAATATAACTTTTGTCGAATAAAAATTCAACGTAAGAGCGAAACTCCTCAATTCTGACGAATATTTCTTTTTTCAATTTTCCCTGTTCTGTGTTTTATATATTGACGTTGTACGATTTCTTCATTAAGCACACCAATTTTCTTTAAAGTGTCACCGTCTTTAGCTTTTAAAATTTTTTTGCCTCTAATTCTTTTATCATGAATTTTAAAGATCCCATCCTCTTATTATAGTAACGTACTTTCTCTTGTAGTGCCTTAATTGTCTTATTTTTATGCTTAACCATACTTGTCAACTCTAAAACACGTCTGCAAAGACTGTTTTTGGTCCAAGAATTAAACTGTGTAAGAGTTTTAGGATCGGTAGCTTCTCGTTTAGTTGCCCTGGGTAAAGTTGGTAAAAGTTCATTTTGAGATGATGATGGTATCGGACTTGCATTTTCCGGAGCGCGTTCAGAACTTATGTTACTCTGAAGAGGAAAAAAGTTGAGTCTATAAGTAATATAAATTTAAGATAAAGTTAAATTAGACGGATTATGTATATCACTTACTACTACAGGCATATGCAGTGTAGGAATTGCGGTATCAAATAAGCGGCGGCGAATGTTCTTTGTATAAAAACAGTCTTCTGTGAAATGCAGAGAGCAAACGACGCTGTAATTGCTTGGAAACCAGTTTTCCCTTTTCGTGGAAGCAATCCATTTTTCCTTAAGACTCGGATCCTTAGGAAATCTTCAAAAACAATACAAAAATACTAAGTTTCTTCGGTAACCACGTATTTTAAACAACTGAGAGTACACAACACTAACTGTCCATGGGTCTCCCCAAAACCCATAAATATTCTGGACTCCTCGAGGACTTGGCACAATCACCACACTTGCAAAGTGAATAGGTGATCGCAGTATGTTAGTTGAGAAGACATCCATGGAAAGATATGGGGTGGTATTATATTAGGCCAACACCACACGGCCATAAGAAGTTAAATGTATAAATATACTCTCAAACAAAAACAATTTTCCTGAGCAATAAAAACGAGCGACAATCTATCACATAATAGTTAGTGTTTTTTGTGCATAATCTGACATACTTATAAAATCGATACATTATACTCATGGCTCAATACTTATCTACGACAACGTTAGATGTAGATTTTTTTACTTTACCGATTGTTTAAATAAATCATTATACAGTAATAATTATACTTGCAAATATCGATACATAATACGACTTTTTCAGTACAACACTAGTAACGCGTGCCCAACGAATAGAATGAGATGACGTGACGGGAGTTGCATTATGTGGAAGCAAGACGCAATGATTTAAAACAATTGATGGGTGTTGTCAATTGTTTCACTGCAAATGGACCAGTTTAACTTGAGCTATACAGTAATGAACGAAAATTGAAAAATTACATATTTAATATTTAATTACCGATGAAATGTGATTCCGTTTGTTTTGTAATTAGATGTTTTGCTGTTTTTCCCACACCACCGAATAGAACAGCACGGCATTGTTAGAGATATTATCTTTATTACAATAAATACAGAATATTTTTTGGAATATACGGAAACGTACACCCAGGTCCGTAGTTGGCCTGACTTTATTTCGGTGCAAACGAAAGTCGATATTTATAAGAGCTGTATCGCTAATGTGTTACCAGAAGCGGTATTCTGTAATCGTTGAGACTCGCTATTCGATATTCGTTATGCGGTTTTACCGACGGTATCGATTTTGTCGACAAATGCTATTCCGTACACTACTTTCACCGATCATAACGACAATTCGGTTCGATACGTTCGTTAAGATACGATATTTTTATCGACTCTTCGAGGGCACCCTGTTTACGACGTGCTTTCTTCTTACATTTCACTGTTAGATATTTGTGTTTTGATCGCATTAAATGGAAAAAATTCACTTTTTGCCTTAAGGTAAGCCAAAATGTTTCGTAATTGAAAGGGGCTTTTTCTTGGCTGTGTGTTGTAATCACTTGTTTACATAGATTTAGAATATAGGTGCATATACTAAATCTAAGCTTGTTTATGTCGTGATGCCGCGATTGTAGAGGTTAAGGTGAGCGACGTTTTCCTAGTAAATTCTCATCGATCAGATATTTATCTTAAAGGATGGAAAAAAATAAAGGAAATATTTACAGAACTGCAATTGGCTTACTTGTTTGCTTTGGATTACAGAATACCGCTCCAGGAACGGTATTCTACAAATGCTATTCTGTACACTACTTTAACCGACCATAACGACAATTCGGTTCGATACGTTCGTTAAGTTTCGTTAAGATTCGATATTTTTATCGGCTCTTCGAGGACACCTTGTTTACGTCGGTATTCTTAACGACGCGCTTTCCTCTTACATTTCACTGTTAGATATTTCACAGTTTTGATCGCATTAAGTGGAAAAAAATCAATTTTTGCCTTAAGGTAAGCCAAAATGTTTCGTAATTGAAAGTGACTTGTTCTTGGCTGTGTGTTGAAATAACTTGTTTATGTCGTGACGCCGCGATTGTAGAGGTTATGATGAGCGACTTTTCCCTAGTAAATTCTCATCTTGTTGCTGTTTCCGGCTTTTCTCTTTTATTTTCATTTGACTGACAGTTACGACTTACATCAAGTACCTGATCATGTATTTAACATGCACCACTATCAGAGTTAGAAAAGTCATTGTTGTTGGACTATGTGATAAAAGTAGAGCTCCTTATCTATTACCTTACCTATTTGTGCCGCCAAGCAGTAATGTCAGCATTACTGTGTTCCGGTTTTGAAGGGTAAGGGTGCTGGTGAACTTACTGGTACATGGGACTTATCAACTCACGTCTCAGGGTGACGGGCGCAGTGGCAGTGCCCCTCAGATCTTTGCGTTTTAAAGCTCTGAGTGACACTGCTACTGTTATGGACATGCGTGTAGCTTACCATCAGGCGCACGGCTTGATCGTCCCGTCATCAGATATTATAAAAAAAACCTGAGCTCAGATTATGAAGTTGACTGTTATCAGCCTGATCTATGCGTAGCTTGTAGCTTTTGTACCATGTATTGCGAGCCTCCTGGTAGTTTTTTTTTCACAGTCATGTGGAATGTAGGCTTAGATTACCTGCTGGAACTGGATGAAATGGTTGAGGACCACCGGGCACGGTGGGCAGAGAGGGTAGCAGAGAAGCAGAGAATGCGAGCTGACCAGAATCCTTTTGATATGGATAATTATGTATTCATTGATCTATTTCGCCTGACTCCTGACTCAACAATGAATATTGTTGAAGAATTGAGGCCGGACTTAGAGCGGCAAAGGTCTAGTGGTCTGTCAGTGGAACGGCTGGTAACATAAAAAATTTACTTGTTGAAAATTTGTCCATTCATTTATCTGTTGCATTGCTGTTATTACATTTTGTTTTGTTTTTGTGGTGGGGCTGTAGGTTCTTGCAGCTCTTAGATACTACGCAAAAGGCTGCCACCAGAATGCGGTTGGGGAGCAGTGGGGCCTCTAGCTGAGCCAGCCCTCAGTGAGTCGCTGTTTAAAGGCTGTGACAGAAGCCCTCAATAGGCACATGCTACACCGACATGCCAGGTTCCCAATGACCCCAGAGGAGCGTCATGCAGCAAAATCCAAATTTATGAATGCAAGGCAGCCCTTCCCTGGCACCCTAGGAGTCATTGACTACACATATGTTAATATTATAGCAGCTTGAAATCATGAGGAGGCTTTTGTGAACCATCATGGCAACATGCTCTAAATATCCAAGCAGTAAGTTGTTAGCATTTTATATAAACTGTTATCTTGGGAAGATACAACACCCGTAGCTATTATGTTGAACTATACTTTGTTTCAGATATGTGATCCTGACTTAAAAATATTAAAAAAACGCTCGCTATTCTGGTGCTAGGAACGACTATTTCATTTGGAAGAATAGCTCAGTGCACCAGGCATTGAAAAGGAGTTACAGTGAGGGAGAGCGTAACACATGACTTATTGGTGTGTATATTTTGGTTCCCTCATGCTCTTCTGACTTTGCACCTCATATTGCCCAAAGGACTTGTCTAAACGAAGTTTTTTTATCTTCTCTGTGTAGGTGGGTAGTGGGTAGGTGGGTAGGCCTTGGCTTATGACGCTTCTAAAACATGAAGCTGCTGGAACTGCAAGGTTTCGATATAACGAAGCCCTGTGCAAAGCCCACAATGTGATTGAAAGGCTTTTTGGAGTACTCAAGGCAGAGTTCAGGTGTGTCTCATCGGCAAATAAAATCTCGTATGCACCAGAGATGGTAGGCAAGATATTTAATGCGTGTGCTATCTTGCATAATATTAGAATTCAAGATAGGGTGCAAAACATTGGAGTGGACCTAGACGAGGTATAAGCTGAAGTTCAAGCTCAAGCCAATGCCCCAAATGAACTTGATACGGATGACAATGGTGGGCCTCCCAAAGGGCAGTAGGCCAGAGGATTCAGGCCAGGCTAATAGCCCAACATTTTATATGACCATTTTTTACTTAAAAAAATAAAATAGAATGAAAGATAACTGGACTTGTTTTTCAACTACCAGGTGATGTTTCACAAATATTTCACACTTAACAAAATGAGACAATTTGTTCAAAATTAGTTTGTGTGAATCTCTTATTACTGGAAGGTGTTTTCAGTCAGTGACATATATGTCTGAAATAATTAATCATAGACAGTGTTTTATCAATATGTATTGACGTCTCACATATGGAACATGGCATACTATAATAATTAACAAAACATTAGGTACTACAAATCACATTTTTGTTATCACATCATAATCAGTCTTAGGCAGTGATTTATTAATATTAGGGGTTAAAGTATGAAATTGCCGTTTTATTGCAATAGGT